CCGGCACCACCGGGCTGGAGGCTCGCCCCGCCGCCCGGTGCTCCAGCGGGCGGCGGGACAGGCCCGCGGCCGCCGGGCAGAGCCTCCGCCCGCGGGCCCCGGCCTTCCCGCGGGCCCTCTCACCTGCCCGGCACCTTCGCGCCGCTCCGCTTCCAGAACTGCTTCCTGCCCGCGTCGCTCGCCATGGCGGCCGTCACCTCATCCCCCTCCCCGCCGCGCGGCACGGCGCGGCGCGCGGCCCCGACCCGCTCCCTCAGGCTTCACTCGCCCCCATTCCCTCGCACAGGAACGGGACTGAGCGCCGCCATCTTGGGACCAGGAAACAACCCCGCTCCTCATTCGCCTCCCGAGGCGGCCCGGAGGCTTCGGCCAACCACAAGTGAGAGTGCTGCCGGGTGGGTCAGGTTGGGCCAATCGCAGCGAGGGAGTGTCGGGCGGCGGGTGGGGCGGGTCCTTGGGGCAGCGCCTGCCGCGGTGGCGGCTCGGTCCGCCCCTCCCGTCATGGAGGCAGCGCCCGGCCTCGCCCGCTCGGGGAGGCCGACGTGGGCTGGGCAGAGAGGCGGCGAGAAAGCAGCTGGCAGCGGCGGTGCCCGGCGCCGGGAGCCTTGGCCGGGTCCTGTCGCCGCTGTTTGAACCCAGGCCGAGGCTGCCGGCGCCGGGGAGCCTCTCCCGTCCCGTCCCTCCCCTGGCCTTGTCGTGGTGTGTGAGGTACCAGCCTGCAACGGTACAGAGACTCACTCTTGGTTCCTGTCTGTGATTAACTAAAGCATTCCTATAAAGTCGGGTTTTACTGCGTGGTACTCCGAGTCGAGTATGTTGTCAGGTTTTAATCCTTTTTGATTTAACCATAAAGAGTAATTCAGAGTACTCTCCGGGAAGACATGCAAAACTTGCCATGTCAATGGAAGGAGACATCATTTGAAGAGGACAAGATTTCAATCAAGTTAGCTCTTAACACTGTTTTATAACAAAATACATCAAATTTTCAGATTTTTCCCACTTTATTTTTTTCCAATTATTTACTCAGCTACCGGGGGGGGCGCGCTTTAATCTTTCTCGGCTTTAAAGCTTTCCTGAAGATTGGACTTATCCAATCATTGTATCCACTTCATTTATTTGCTTTGAGAGGATACAAGGTTGAGGGTCTTCCTATCTGTAGAGTTCTCAGCAATTCTGATCCAAGGATACATCACTTCTGCAAACAAAATAGGTAAGGTTTTATGTTACTCGTTGGAGCATGGCACCTGAGAAAACAATGCTGACTTACAGAGTTTTTTGCTGCATCCTAATGCAAGACTAATTTAATATGTTCAAGATTGTGCAGGGAATGTTCTGCCATAATTAACTCAAAAACTGGCATGTAGTACAAGACCTGACCTGCAACGCAACATTTGTATTTCATGTGTAAGTTATTTATTAAAAATAAAAAATAATGAATAAATGAATAAAAAATTTCTGCCTGCTTTGGGATTTACTTTAGCAGTTACCTTCTAAGAACTGACAAAAATAAAATGTTTCACAGATCTTGCTAGATCACTGTCCATGAGGGAAAGCTGATGTCCCAGTAATTTCAGTGCTACTTATATATAAATATGCTATGCGTACTATCATCTTCTCTACTTGTGTCCTTCAAGTAGGATCCCTCTTACAGATTCTGGACCTGTAGGCTTTTTGTAATGCATCGTGACCTTGAGTATCAGCAGCTTTAATAGAATACACAAAAAACATAATGTGATATGAACTACGTCTGTTAGCTAAAGTGAAAATGAAACTCGCAAGGTCATGAGTAGAACTTTGCTTGGTCTTAGCTAGATAAATTTAAATCTAAATTAGACCTGTTGCTATTAGAATACCAAAATGATGTACTTTCGGTTGTGACATTCAAAAAAGTGATAAACCCATAAAAGATACATTCTATCATTAGCATTAATATGGATGTTGAAAACAAGTTCTTTTTATTTGCTCATTGTTCATATTTCTCAAAGGGAAACTTAATTAGATTCAGCCTGGATAGCCTAAACCATCTGTCATCCTTGTAACAGTTGACCTGAATCCTGAAGTAATGCCATTGAACTTCTCTGTCAGTCTGGTGCAGCCATGTGGAACTTCTGGTTCATTTTAGAAGTGGAGGTTTTGCTGAATTACATAATGAAGTCAGTACAAATTTAACTATTATGTAGTTTTCATTATATTCAGTATGTGTTACATTGTGCTTAAGTTTTTAGGGTGGTGCAGAATTTTATACTGGAAACAACTGTTGCATTCATTTGTTCACATGAACAAGTGTGACCTGCAAATGGAGCTACCTTTGTATCAAGAGGAACTGGAAGTACACAGTCACAAAATCTCTGTCTGCTGCTGTGGAGAGCTGCTGCCAGTTTAGACCCTTGGGCTGAAGTCGTCTAGAGCTGGACTGGGCCCTCTCTGTTGTTGACTCTCAAGAAGGCAAGGAATTTTAATTCCCTTTCTATTAACTTTTATATTTTTTCCTTATTCTGTGTTTTATTTTATCCCTGACACAAACCTCTGTTGGCAAGGTTCTGGAGAGGGAAGGGATTTGGAAGGAGGAATCTTTCAAGACCCCATCAGGTAATTTAGGTACAATTCTTTGTGCCCATCACATAAGGTGATCTGACCACAAAGAGTGTGTCCTTGAAAAGGACTTATAAAATGGTATTAATAGAGTATCATAAGAAGGTAATTTCACAGCTATACAGTACTTGGAAGGAGAAGGTGGTCTGAACACCTACTTTAGCAGTGTTCCTGCTTAACTTTTTTGGTTACAGAAGTGTAACATGGGCGGCTGAGGGAGTACACAGATTCCACTGTCAACCTCTTTATTGTGTTTGGGAAGGAGATCTGCCAGTGTTCAGGTGCTGTCATTCAAGGAGTATAACAACACTGCATTCACCACTGGGACTCACCTACTGCAGCTGATTAGCATAGTCTTCAAACACTCCCAAGAATCTAAATAAGCACTTGGGAAATTGGTTAATGTTGAGTTGCGCTTGGCTGTAGTTACACTGCTTCAAACATCCAAACTATTTTAAAGTCTGTGCAGCTACATTAACTAAGCTCCGCCCTACTGGGATTGAAGTATAAACTTGCAGTAATATTTCAGTTACCACTTGCATGGGAATTTTTGTTACTTCAGAGCAAGAAGAAATACTAAAAGGCCTACTGCAGTATTTGTTTTGTTTCATGCAAAGTTGTATGAAAGAATTTATAGTTAGGAAAAGGTCTGTTGCCAGCATGGGCAAATAAAGTATTGAGCCAATGAGAGGTTTGTGGGCTTTTTTCTTTTGTTTCCTCCTCGTTTCCTCCTCTTTCTCCTCTACTTTTATTTTTCATGGGCATTTTTCAGAATCAAGTCACTGTGTACAGCTGGCAAGTGTTATTGAGGATGCCCAGGAAGATTCTATATGTTCTAAAATGTAGAAATGTACCAGCCTTGTACAGCCAGAACAACCTTGTTCTTGGCTGATCAAAATTAGGAGTGTTGTAGCTTGCACTAGCAATGTTTCCAACAAAGTAGACACTTTATTGTTTATTTAGTGTGATAGCTGGTGAGCTATATATGCTGGTGTTTCAGTGGACATTCAGTTATACCAGTTTGTTTTTCAGCTTGTCTGTTGTAGAGATCTGCTGATATAGCTGTGCTGATATGGTTACACAGGTAGACTTTTCAGTGGAGGTGCAGTGTATTTTGGGAAAAGAAGCTTTTCTGATGATGCATGGGAAAGTATAGATTGATGCTAAACATAATTAGCTAAGCTGACAACAGCACTCCCCTGCTAACTTAGCTACACTTATACCAGGAGGATTTGCTGATAAAGTTGTGTAAGCTAGGGAGTGTGCTTTTTCATGCTTATCCTTACATCGCTGTGTCAGCAACACACTGTAATGTAGGTGCAACTGTGAGGTGTAGTTTAGACTGACTGTTCTGCAATCTAACAATACTATGTTTCTCCATACACATTTTTTTGTTTGCTTTAATCAATAAGGAAAAAAAATTAAACTGAATTCAAGTGAGCCACTTCCATGTTGAAGAATTAGTTTCTGCACATGTTTTTACTGTTTAACAAACTGGTGGAAGTGCTTCTGAATGCAGCACACAGGGCTTTCTGTGGTGGCTGATCACTCTTTCTGTTTGGTCCATGCACACGCCTTTCTACCAAGCCATTTTATCCATCATCCACTTTATTGTAAATATCATGGAAGAAGCAGTACTTCAAAATAAAATTGAGCAAAGGGAGTGAAGTTGCCAAGCAAGCTAACCCAAAACCAGCATTCTGAACTGTCATGGTTTAACCCCAGTCAGCAACTAAGTACCCTGCAGCTGCTCACTCACCTCCCTCACAGTGGGATGGGGGAGAGAATCAGAAGGGTAAAAGTGAGAAAACTCATGGGCTGAGATAAAGACAGTTTAAGAGGTAAAGCAAAAGCTGCGCACACAAGCAAAGCAAAACAAGGAATTCATTCACCACTTCCCATGGGCAGGCAGGAGTTCAGCCATCTCCAGGAAAGCAGGGCTCCATCACACATGACTGTTACTTGGGAAGACAAACGCCATCACTCCAAACGTCCCCCCCTTTCTTCTTCTTCCCCCAGCTTTATATACTAAGCATGATGTCATATGGTGTGGGATATCCCTTGGGTCAGTTGGGGTCAGCTGTCCCGGCTGTGTCCCCTCCGAACTTCTTGTGCCCCCCCAGCCTCCTCGCTGGTGGGGTGGGGTGAGAAGCAGAAAAGGCCTTGGCTCTGGGTAAGCACTGCTCAGCAATTAGTAAAACATCCCTGTGTTATCAACACTGTTTTCAGTACAAATCCAAAACATAGACCCATGCTACCTACTGTGAAGAAAATTAACTCTATCCCAGCCAACACCAGCACATGCACAAAAAGAAAAGGGTAGTAGAAACAGAGGGAGCCACTTACACTAGGGAAGACAACATTCCCAGAGGGTACAGTACTTGGTGACAAAAAGACAGAGGGCAAGGTAACATAAATGGGAGTAGTAGTCATGTAGAACCATGGAAGAAAGAGCAAAGAGATGTTAAAGAAGAGGGACAGCCAACAGCTAGATTGAAACAGGTTAGACATGGTCCAGCAAATCACATAGTCACAACAGCTCTTTCAGTGCAGTGCAATTTTTCTCCAGAAAATTGCAGAGGAAAAAACGGGGAAGGAATCAGCATGAGAGAGTAATAGCCAGGAGGAGTCATCATTGCAGACGAGCAGTCATCATAGCATTTTGTAACTTTTTCTCTGTAAGTCACCTTCCCTATTGCATGAGTTGAACAAGATTTTGAAAATAAGAGCAAAATTGCCAAAATACACTTATGCTGGTAGTGCACATGTATGGAATTCTGCACACTCACACTTTGAATTCAGTAACAGTGAAAGATGACTGTGAAACAGAAAAGAGCATAAATAAATTTGTGCTGTCTCTGGGTAAATGTCTTTGTCTCTTGTTTCTCCTAGAAGAGTGATCGATATGGTTAGTTTTCAAAAGCTGTCATTCACTAAAATGTTAGTAGCAGTGCTTATGTTTACATTTCATGCATTTTTAGGTGAAGGTTTTTAGTTTTATTTTTATCTGTGTCACAGCATCAACTCATAATCTGACACCGTCTGTTGGGCGTAGCCTGGAACAGCAGTCTGTGTCCAAGGAGTGCTTGCTCACTGGCAGACCAGCAGATGAAACTGCTCTTTTCTGAAGTCTGATGCAATATGCAGTTGAGGCTTAAATGACTCGGGGGAGGAAGGATTCTTTGTAAGTGGAAATCTTGGGTAGAAGACAGGGAAGCTGGCAAGAGCAAGGGGTCTTCTTTCCAACATACTTCTAGTTCCTTGAAATTCCACCTTATTATGCCTTCAGTACATAAAGTGAAGGTTTAGACATAGCATTGCAGCATGACAGAACTTCAAACACAGAGACATAAATCAATGCATATTTGGCTCTGAGCCATGATAATTCTCTTCTGTTCATTGCTGATAGTAATTTGTTTTCTTTAAATTCTACAATGCCAATCAGTTTATAAACTTCACATTTAACTTGCTATCACACCAAGGTGAAAAGCAAAATCATTGGAGCATTAGTTGATTTTTCCTCAGACTAAAAGATCTTCTCAAGTTATTGGGAGAGCTTTGGAGGTGCCAGAAGACCTGCTTTCTACTGTGGCTTGATGAGGAAGTAGGCAATACCTTTTCTCTAAAGTCAGTAGGAGTAGGCAATTCCTTGGAGCAGACACAGAACCACTTTTTTTCCAAAGTCATAACAAATACCAAAACTGCCTACTGTTGCTTTAATGTAAAAACTGGACATGAAATAGGGCAGAATGTAAAAGATGGGTGTCTGGAGCTTTTCTTCTGAATCTACAAATTGGCTTTTTTTTTTAAAAAGTATCATCTGTAATTAACTGGAGGGCAAAACCAGATTTCAGCATGTAATATGAGAGCGAGTAGGGCTCTTGGATCTCTTAGGTTTCTTTTTAGAACAGCCACACTCATCTTGCTAAGTGGCCTCACTTTTTTTCTTCTTCGTAAAGTTTGTATTACTGAATTTTTCAGAGGAAGTACCTAAAGCAAAGTGTCTTGTAACTCTAAGAAGGAGTTTAACAGCAGAGTTTAGGTGCTTTGGTTCAGTCTCTGTTTTGGTCATTTTGGTTCTAATGGACAACTTCATCTCAAATTTCAGGAAATGCACCAGCATGGAGAGAAGTATTTCTCAGCATTATTTACTTTTTGGTTATCCTGCTGCTGCTGTGACTGCTGATACTGACCTGCTCTGACCTGTGGTTTAGAACAACCTCTAATGATTTGGTATGTAGATCTTTGAGTCTTCTTCAGTGTTGAAAACCTCCAGACCTATAAAAGTCTATAAAAGACATGTTCCGTTTAGTTCATTCCCTGGCCAGTCTGTATTTCTTCTCGTGTTTGATCCATTGTTCTCAGTAGATGTATTCAACATGGAGACATTGCATTTGATATGCCACTAGCATAAATCATGTCCTTGGCCCCTTCATTTTTTGCTCAAAAAAAGCTATTTAGAAGTTAATCTTTAACTCCTCCCATGTATGTAAGAAGAATGGAGACATGACACTACACAGAAATTTTGATGGATTATCTTCAGCAGATATTTTCAGGCATTAGAACACATCAAGCTGTGTGTTAATTGGCATCTACAGTTTATTTTGACAGCATACATTTGTTCTCTGACAATATTCATGACTGACTGCTGCAGGGTTTGGTTGGGTGGGGTTTTTTTTGCTCTAGTCTTGTCTTTGACCATCCAGCTCCATCACAAGCGCTTTTTGCAAATCTTTTTGTGTTTTCTCCTTGGATCTCTATATCTAATTTAAGTCTCCCACTGACTTCTCTTTTCATGCCTCAAAGCCACTGTTAGTGCCTTTTTCATGTCATTTGTGTCTGTATGAGGGATTAGTTTTTGTTGGTGTTTCTTGAGGATAGCAAAGCCTTTACCATGCTATTCAACCCCGTTTCTCTCTCAATTAATTTTTCTTTGATCCAAATGTATATTAGAAGGTAATTAAGTTTTACTCTTTGCTTTTTAATCCATTTCTGAGTTTCTCTGTATAGCAGTTGAAATGTACATTTAAACTGAAAACAGCCTTCTTCCCTTCTTCCTTAGTGTTCCACATATTTTCAGTATTGAAATCCTGTTAATACAATTTCTGTAGAAAAGTATTAGTGGTAGAGTGAGTTCAGGTAGTGTAAGGTGAATGACAAATACAGGATAGACTATAAATTCACAGTTGGCCTTACAGTGTGTTGTATAGATATAATTTCCAAAAATATCTTCAGTATAATACATTATAGTTATTATTCAAGTGAGTTGTATCAAAATCATGTTTTCTTTTTCTTAAAGAGGAATGGAATTTGCTACTTTAGAGGTATGTCTATATCAGGTCTCATTAGTTGTTCTTTATTACTTGAATTTTTATTGCTGTTTTTGTGGTTTGTGTATGCTCTTGTTTGGATGACAGCAAACATGAGTGATGAGTATAACGAAGATATTGCAGTTGGAGTTCTAGTAACAGGATCCTTCCAGAACAGCTTTCAGTAGACGAGTACTGAGTGCTCCTGCAGTAACGCTGTTGGCTGAGCTGCCCATTTTTCTAGTGAGAGCATTGGGAAGGCTTATGATTTAGCAACAGAGGGGCTGAGAGCTTGGTGAAAGAGACATAAGCAAAATTATATTGCAAAGAAAATGAGAGTAACTCCAGATATTTGGGTGAAAAGATATCCTAAAGGTAACGAAGTATTTTATACATTTGCTTTAAATCATTGCTGCTCCTTATCCAAGAGATATACTCTGTTAGTGAATTGGATTTACAAAGTACTCATTAGCTGAAGATTATAAATGTTTTCCCAAATTTAAGAATGTTGGTGGAACTGGGAAAAAAATCAAAACCTGCATAATTTTGTTCTCTTTTACCTTGTTACTTTTGAGAAAGGGGTAGGAATAGTACAAGTTTTTCAGCTAAGGGGAAAAAAGAAAACTCAGACTAAAAAGTAAGAATTAAGTATTTTGCTATTCATATCACTTTCTTGTATAACACAGCATGTGGCATCATGTTGTAAAGTAATAAAAGAAAGAACAGCATAGCTTGTAAACCTTGAAATGAAAATTTGCAATTTCACTTGAATGGTCTTGACAGTTGTTTTAGGATTGGCAATCTTAGTGCAAGAAATGAACTAAGAATACTGACGTAAAACCACCAGAGTCCCTGAGTTTTGAAGAGAAAATGATAAGGCTATCACAGGCAGCTCCTCGGAAGTTAAAGCCATTTTAAGTAGAAAGATCTCAATGGATTAATCTCTTTTACTGAAACCGTGAAGTATAGTGGTAATAATTCTAGTATGCATGGTCATTAAAATAAGATTTCACAGGTAGCCAGAGGAAATAAATACATTATGCATCATTTTTCAAAAATCTCTCTAACTCTGAAAATCAGCCATGGGCTGCTGAACAGGAACAATACTGAAATACTAATGAAGCTTAAAAACTTCTGTGTTTTCTCCTTTTTGGCTTCAGTTTGTGAGAGGAAAGATTTGCTCAAGGAGATAGTATCTTATAGTAGACTAACTAATATAGCCGAGGAAAGAACAGATAGGTTCTACTAGACAAACCTTTGCCTGTTTTTTTACACAACCTTAACCCGCCCCCCCAAAAAAGCCAAGAATTTCTTTGATAGTGAAAAATAAAGTTTTATAAGTACTGCATGACAAAAACTTTAAATTCATAGTTCATGTCATACTGTATTCTTTTTCCCACATTAATAATACTGTAATTATTAATATTATTAATATCAAGCTGATCCCATACAATCTTTGTTGTCTATGATTTATATTAATTTGTATGTGGTACCCTTCTGTTTGTACCAGTTCTCAAATAATGCTAGCCAACATTCTTATTAATGCTCTAAAAATTCAAAATCACTGGTTTTATGCATTTGTAGCTGGCAAAAATTGAGAGTTGCAAATAATGATGATGGCAATCGCTACTAAAGAACATAGCAGAGTCACAACATGATTTAAAGGTTGGAAATTAATACTAGAAGGAGTTAAGTGGAAATACTATCTAAAGAGGGAAGATAAGCAGTTGCATCATTGGGTAAGGGATGTAGGAGCTTGTCCATAAGTTTAGTTCTTTAAATTAAGACAGGATGTCTTGCTGAAAAATAGGCTGTACTTCAGCTACAATTTGTTGGGCTTGATTGAGGTTTTTGCTGTGCGAAAAAATCTATGTTCTTTGTACAGAAAATCAGATGAGATGATCATAACAGTCCCTTGGGCTGCACAACCTATGAATTGCTCTCAAAGCTATTTGCTTTTGAATTTCTTATTATTTCTCTCTCTTTTGGCTTGTATTACTTAAACTCTCTACAATAGAGAAACAGTTACATTACATTGTTTTAGACATTGCATGTGTATATATGTATATATATGAATGCACATTAGATACAGATACTTAATCTTATATAGAAATCAAATTACAATGTGGTTTTGTTGGAGTATCACCAAGAATAGTGGGCTTTTCTTCTTTGTGGCAAGAGAAAATTTAATGGAACAAATTTATTTAAATTGCTGTGTCTAAAAATGGGCTTTCCTATGTTTGTGTAGGTGAAGAAAGAAGGCCACCTCTGCATAGTTTTTAGTCCAGCTAAGATCTAAACTGCTGTCTGGAAATGTGCTCTGTCTCTCTTCACTGAGAAGTCAGGAAAGTTTGTTCCTTCTGTAATATGGCTCATGAGAGGGGGTCTGTATCAGGGCCTTTTCCTTTGGAAAAGATAACTCAGGCACTTTCTTCAGAGCTCTTAAATAATTAGCCAGTTGAAGTGTGAGCATATGGGAGCAGTGAAGGAATAAATCACCACAGCAGCAGCTATATTAGCCAATTTTCTGTCTGTTACATACTGCACGATAGAAGAAAATGTCCACTTTATTTCAGTGCTAATAGTTGGCAGTATGCTCAAAGCCAGTAAAATTAATGAGAAGATTATTATGGTAGAGAAATAGAAGTCAGTTTTCATCTAATGCTTAGAAATGATGGATCTAGGATAAAACTGCCTTCAGTAGGCTTTGGGTTTGGCCATGATGTTTTTCATAGCACCCTTGTTCAGTAACCTTTCAGTATCTAACTTAGCTTAGGAAATCTTCTGTTGTGTTTTATAAGCCGGGTTGAGGCTTGAAGCTTATGTGCTTTTGTTTTCACTCATCTCAAAACGTGAAAGAAGCATTTATGTTAATAAATCCTTGTTTGCATTCAGGTTCTCCTTTCTTGAAGGCAGAGGACTATTCATCAGCACTCTGCATCTCATTGCTCTTTTCATTGTGCTCAAGCGTGTCTGGAGAGGGACTGAGGTGCCCTTGGCTCCACTGGAAACATTATGTCATCTTCTCAACAAGATGTTGTAATGCCAGGAAAGGATCAATACTTTGATGAGGAGCTGCTGGCTCAAAACCACTTTATTATTTGATAAAGGACCGCTTGGAACATTTTCCAAAGCATTTCCCATGGTATGAAGCTCTAGGGAGTGTATTTGTCTCTCTGCCTAGGAAACTGAGTTGATTCATCTGTAAATATGTGTCTGCCAACCTCAGATAACAAGAAAAATTGCACCTTCTGCCCACGTTAGGCTTCAGCCTTTCAGCCATTTCAATAATATACTGTCCGTGAAGGAAGTGCTTCACATACCAACAATCAATTCAGTGGGGAAGGGAGGAAAAGGTTTTAGCCTTTTTCCTGCTGCCGACACCAGACAAGTCTAGCATTTAGTCCGTATGACCGCACAGCCCTGGGAGTGCTGCATTGTGTGGGGTGCAAGGGCTGGCAGCCCCACAGGAGCTTGACTGCGAAAGTGTTTTGTGCTGCAGTCCTTGCATCCGCCCCCAGCCAGCTTCCCTGCCAGGTTGCAGTGCCAGTGCTGTCAACCGTGTCTGCCTCAGGATCTCCAGCTGAGACAAACCAGGACAGCCGCATGCCTCTGGGTCAATGTGTTGTGAAAGGCAGGACAGCTAGAGCTAAAGGGCTCTCCATTGAAACAAGCTCAGTTGTCCGCTGAGAAACTAGTCTTGGAAGAGATTAGAGTTGTTCAGGGTGCTAAACCGACATCACTTTGGATAAGACCACTAATATACAATGATCAAGGATTATGCAGTGCATGAGTGAAATGGATTTTAAAAAGAAAGCGCTGGCCAAGCCATTTAGACTTCTTGTATTCTCTTCATGCAGTCAGGGATGGCTTTAGCAGACAGGCTGCATGGAAGTCCTGTAGCTCTGTATGAACAGCCCGTCATCTGAGGGGAAAACACTACCTTGCTACGTATTGCAGCTTCATTTCACTCTCCTGTTGGCTCATTTAATCCTCCTGTTGGCTCAAGTCCTAAGTAACCCAGTTTGAGGATTTATATGCCCAAAGACAAGGAATTATTTTGTGAAGGTTTTTTCTTTTTTCATTGAAGAGGAAAATAATTACTCCAATAACATTAAGAGATATGGAAGAGGACAAAGGGATGACTCAGCATCTTTTCATGATATACAGATGTACATATCACTTTTTATATTAATTGTCTGTTTATACTATGGTTGATAAAAACTCAGTACCTAGTGCAGTTTTGAATGAATTTGAGTCATTCTAATAGAATTTGCTCATTTGTGTTATGATAGTAAACAGATATTTACCTTGACAGAAGGCAAGCTTAACAATGTCAAATCACTTGTATCATACTTGTTCAGGTCTAATCTGTGAAAAATGCTCCCTGGTTCTTCCTTGTGTTCTGGGGCACTGAAAATCTTGAAGAATTCATGTCCATTCTAGCTCAATTTAACTGTTATACACCACTATTTAAACATTGATTATAACATTTGGATTGTAAGAGCTTCAGAATTATTGACAAAAATATTGCTTCATCTTATTTTCTTCAAACCTAAACAATGCAGAGCCTGCTTTTCATACAGAAATGACGGGATTCTCTACAGCCAGAAGGTAAGAGCAGCCTGAATACTTATTTCACCTTAAAAGAATTGCTCAGTGTTTGTTCACTCTTTTGTTTCTCTCAACGGTGAAGCCATATGATCTTTTCCTCTGGCAGAAGAAACAGGCAAGCAACTTTGTCAGTGCTGTTGTGAAAAGCCTTTCATAGCATCCATCAACTCCTGCAAACTTCAGTGGGATTGTTCATCTCTTTGATACCAAGGAAAAAGGATCAATATCTGAGAGATCTTTTGTAGGCTTAGGAGTCACAGAGAAATCAGCCAGCAATAGGCATCTGTGATTCTCTGAATGTTTATTCTTCCATGCAGCCTTTTTTTCTGTTGCCACCTGCTCATGTAACCTGCACTGTTATAGATTTTTCCCTGGCAGGTAGGCCTCAATATACATATATACAATGCCTAGGAGAAACTGAACCTAGGTGGTAAGGTTTCACACTGCTCTAAGAAACACTGATTTTTATGAACAGTCCAGATACAGATATTATGGTTTCTAAGGACTGTAACCTTGAACAAAGACATTTTTTTCTCTGAAATATTCTGAGAACTTTATAGCAGCCACGAGAAAGAATAGCCCTATGTGCTTTTGAGAGAGGACTGGGCTTCGTGACTTGGTTCTTTTCTGTTACAATTAGTCTACTTCATTTGCCCTCTATTATGCAATACAATGAACTCATTGTAGCATCACTGTGTAAGTGGCTCTCACTATCATTTTGTACAGGATCAATGCTTTTCCTCATCTAAGCAGGCAAAAATAAAAATTCCTCTTACTATCCCTCATATTAAAGTATCATCAAAGCCCACTGTCTTGGTTTCAGTTTTCTGTTGACCAAGTATTGGACTTTCAACATATGATTTTTCCTATGAAAGCAAGCACATAGCTCAGGAGTGTCTTCCCACTTGCAGAGTTGGATCTAGGGAATGCTTTCCTTGTCACCAGCATTTCCATCCTGTACATAACAATAAATGGAGTTTTGCAGTTACTAATAATCCCTCTCCGAGAAAGAGCAAGCAGTTTCCCCTGAGGTTGCTATTAATACCTCATTATGAGATTATGATAAGAGGTCTCCCTGCAGTCTGCCAGCAAAACAGCTGTTGGAGTAGGTGTGTTGGTACTGCTCAGTGCTGTAATGTTTTGATAATCCCATTCTAGAAGATCAAGTCAATTATCATTTGCAGCATGTCCAGGTGCCAGTCAGCTGAAGACTGAAGAGTTCTGGCATGACGTTTGAACCTGGCCTTTTTCATGTCAGCATGACCACTGGGCTGCTAATGTGAATCTGCATTTTTTGGAACCTACCTACTCTGATAGTAGCATTAGTGTATTAGGAGGCAAAGTCAGTTTATTACAGTAACTGCAACATTGACAAGGTTAAGATTGTAATTGAAAAATGTTAATATGGGAAAGGAGAAAAACAGTCCTTCATGAAGTTTGAAGAGCACATCCTACTGGATCTCCCACTCAGAAGTCCTTATGTATAGATGGATGATTGGAGGGGGGATTTCTGCTTGAGACAAGTAAAAAATTCTGCATGTTTGTTTATCTATTTTTAAGTGGTTTTTTGTCAGTTTGTATCTTCCCTATACATGCTTTCCAGAAATTTAGCAAAAGAATATTGACGTAAAAAAGGATTCTTCCTAATTCCATTGCTATAATAGCTGTGCCCATACAAACCCATACGAAAGCTGCTTGAGCAGCAGTAGTAAAAACTGTGCCAAATATATTCAGCTGTTTACTTTCAAGCTAAGCAGTGCTGCAGGGATCTTGGCATATGGCCTCCACTATTTGAAATCTGAGGAAATTCCCACTGGGCCTGAGACCAAACACTTTCTTGCAGCCATTTGGTGGGCTTTTACTACTGCGGTGTTTTAAAAAGCTGACGGTTAGCAGCCTCTCACTGCTCAGGAATCCAGCTGAGCTTCTTCACAGAGTGCTGTTCAGCTTGCCTTGGTTGCAAACACAATTCAGCCACTCCCAGCTGTGTTCTGCCCACTTACAGCAATGATTAATTTCTTCCCAAGACTTCAATATAAAAGTCATCTGCACTGAGTGATGTGCTACATTTTTTAATATCAAGGCAGTGAATTATTGTCTTTTCACATTAGAATTTTCAGAAATATAATCTCTTACATTCTATTTTTATTCTAGTGGCCTTACAGAAGCAGGCTGAAAACAAATCTGTAACTGAAAATTGTACTTTTATGTAAGAGGCAGCTTTTAATCTCTTTAAACAGTACATACTACGTATTGATTAATACATAATTAATACATATTAATAAAAAAGTGTTCATAAAGTCTGAGTAGAAACAGCTTTCCTTTCTAATTATTCATTTTGCACCAGTTTGATGTTTTTACTATGTATTTATTCTAAGCTGGGCTGAAGGCATTATAGGGGTTAACACATGATAATGCCAGTATAAGGTAGAAATGTTGATTGTAGACTGTCAAGTTGGTAGGCCCAGCACTTCCTACATTTATTCAAAATAATTACAGGTGCCAAAGGTAGAATCCCCATGACTATTCATGGGAACTGCACTGCTGCAGTTCAGACTAGTGCCCAGCCATATAGAGAGGTCAACGGCACTGCAGCCCATGGAACGAAGAAGTATAACGATTAAAAAGCACTCATGCTGAATGTCGGTAGAATATTGTAATAAAATAAAGCAAGCTTCTGTAATTGAAACATGTTCTGACAAGCCATGGAACTATTCTTAAAGTTGCATCATTTTGCATCCAAGAGAAAAATCTTATAATCTGTTGAACATCCATTTATTTGATGAAAGCTCTTGGCCTCTCAGAAATAAGCTGAATTTCAAAGCATGATGGAAGGACCTGGCTGTCTGAAAGAGCTTCCCTCAGGCGCCATAAAGGTCAACAGAATTCCAAGCCAACCATTTCCCTGCAACAAATAATAGCAAGTGAGATTGCATCTTAGGGACTGCATTGTTCATGCTATTTTGTGCGTTTGTGCTAGACAGTGCCCTAAAACAATCAACAGTGTTTACTTCTGAACTATTCTAGGCTACAAAAACTCATGTAGGATTTGATCATTCACTACTAGCCCGCTCTAAACAAGATATTTAGTTTGCAGGCTGATTTTCTGCTTCTACTATCAGCTTTCAAATATTGATGACTCCAAGGAAAACAAAAGATTATGTCCTAAAGAGGAAAATACATTATGCCTTCCAAATTCATTGGTAGAAATAAACTTGAAATTTGATGTGCTTATGTAGTTTAGCTATTGCATCAGCATGAAAGTAGCTTCTTCACCAAATTAAAGTGACACAGCACTTCTGTGCTTACCATGCTCCTGTATGAGTCAGAGATTTTGCATAAAAGATGCATCCACCCATGGATTCCTGCTTGTGGAAAATTCTGTGTACCTGCTCTTAATGAAATAGCATGATACCTTTCCAGTTGTAGTCGGATTGATTGAATGCTTATTGAGTCATTAATAACAATGTCCCAGCAGCACTGGGTAGTAGGTGTGGTTTGGGTAGACTACACAGAAGTGACCAAGCAATTCCCATACAGTGAGCTGGAACATGTGAAAAGGAGGATGCATGGTAAGATAATACTTCAAAGACATCCTAGGAGCACATTTGACTGAGCACACTGCTAGCTAATGCTTCTGGATTCCTAAACCAAAAAGAGGAGTCTTCCACACAGGGTTAAAAGTAGCTACAGGTGTTAGCGTGTTAACACCTACCTCCTTATGGCAACAGCATCTTTGACTCTGAGACCATGATAATGATGAACATGATTCTGATTTCACAGAACTGCCATTTCATTAGCTGTCCATTACGTCTTTCAATAAAAAATAGATATGAAAGGAATTAGAGATTCTATATGATTTATATAAGGTGCTGTAGAAGATCATTTGTAGAAGTGGACAAATAAGCAGTATGTGTTGTGTTATTGGTGGACTGGGGAAGAGCAAATCATGATGTAAGTTACACAGTCAAATACTGATGCTGTAGAGGGTGTCTCTGTAGATTCAATCCTAGATGGGTTAATACAAGAATACAAGGCATGATAATAGCTTCACCTTTGCAAAACTGTTAAACCCCAGGATATTTTAGTTTGGTGGTTAACAAAAGGTTTCTACATTAGCTGCTGTGTCTTGAAGGTACCAAGATATCAACTTAAGGCCATTATAATTCAGCCATCATTTTGCTTGAAACCTGTTTGTTTTTTCTAATACTTGTACTGTAGCAGGAACTTGAAATGCCGTCATGAAACTATGAAAGATCAGGTAGTGGCCGTCAACTCCTGATTTGCTCTAACCCCTTTGATACAAAGGAGGTATCTTTTGCCAGTTGCCCATGTAGATTTGAAGCCTGGAAATTCCTCAGATGACATACAAAGGCAAGTAAAGGCAGGAG